TGGAACATGTATTTTGTGGAACAAAAGTCTATTGGAACATATGTTTACGGAAAAATATGTAATGTACTAATGTCCCACTTCTGACCTAACCTATGACCTGTGTACTCTGTATACATGTTAAAAATTGTCTATTAATTATTAGGTGAACAAAAGAGTACAATATTAGAAAATGTCTGTCATAATCATTGCCTCTCTAATGTTCATGGTCATAACTCATAATATACATTTACTTTCTATACATTGTATAGCATATAGTTAAACATAAATAATAATACAATTTGTATTGTTTAATAGTATAATATATCTTAATAAGTTAAAAATATATATTTTTAAAAGCCTACAGCATATAGCGTTTACAACATAGGCACAACTAGACCTCTAAAACAGGGGGTGCTAAATCTGGGAATGCACCACAGAGTCGTGGGGGGCTTTGCCCCCACACCCGCTACACATGAGCCTGCAATGCTCGATAATTCAACATTTTAAAACATATATTAACACACTTCACATAAATAAAATAAAATAAATTTATAATACTTTTTTTGCTAAAATTTCAGTAACATAAGGATACATTATAATTTCATAATTTTGTTAGTAAATAACTTATATATATATAATACATTTTAAATTAGCATAATTTTTCTAGGTTTCATACAATATTTATTTAAAATAGTTTCAGTGTTAATCTGATTTAATAAATCTTTTTCAATATTCAGCAAAGACAAATTGGTAAACCTTTGCTGAAGCATACTTGATCTTAACCAGTTTTATTATTTGCTCTATTATTATGGGAATATCCGTGTATGGAATGAATTAGAATGAATTATATTATAAGACTTACGACCAAATAATTAAATATTTTTTCAGGAAATTTATCATAATATTTAAAAACATAACATTCAGGTATTTCAATAAAATAATAAAAGTTAGATATAAAAAACAGGAGGTGCTAAATTTTAACTTGGGGGTGCTAAAGACCTTTTTGCACCCCCCTAGTTGCGCCACTGGTTTACAAATGTTCTAGGTGTGGACTGGTAATAATGAAGCAAATAGTTCAACAGTCCTGAAAAATTGCAATTTTATGGTAATTTAATAACATAATAACACGAATAGAGCCTACTGTGCAGTGAGCCTACTATAGTACTATATTATAATTCCAAAGATGAATCACTACTACGATTTAAGATAAACTTAATTCGTGGGTAGTAATAATAATATTAATTAATTCCTATAACTTCGGGAGAATGGAAAATGCTATCACAGACACAGAATAGATTAAAAAAGAAATTCTGTGGTATCACGACAGATTATAATAATGTTGGCGTCACTGGCTGGAGTTAGTCGGTTACTATCTTATTAGCTTCAAAATTCAAATTCGAATATTCGATTACGATAGTAGGTATTTACATCGTATATTTAACGGTAGACGGTATATTAAATATTTGTTCATGGTATTTACATTAACATCATTTTATTTGGCAGTATATAGAAATTGAATAATGAATAACTAATAAGTAATAACTGTTTAATTATAGTGCGAGCACAGAACGAACTGGTCTACGAACGTTTGTATAGAGAGTAAATATTTTTATGATTTGTATTTTCAAATTTGTGCTAACTATTAATTACTAACCTTACAATAGGTAATTTTTAAATATCTAAATATTAATATATTATTCAATTTATAGTATAAACTGTTGCTAAATACTATAATATAAATTATTATTTATAATATTTGTTACTTGTTCTGAGTGTTCTGACTTTCTTCATTTTATTTGTCTTATATTAATAAATAACCATTGTTAAATAGGGGTACACAATTTGTATTTACTAGTTTTAAATTTGAATAGGTTTAAATTATCTAGACAAGATGAACGGAAATTTGTCCCAAAATAATGAAAGTTCTGTAAGCACACTATCAAACGATACTCGTCCTAGTGTGACCACTATTGATGTAAGTAATAACTAATGAGTATTGTAAAAAATATTAAATAATAAAATGATAAGTTACACAAAAAAATATGACTACATAATTTATAATTATTTCTTTAATACTACTTATAATATAATAACTACCTGAATACTAGTAGAAGATTTTCTTGAAGCTAAACCTAAATTTAGTTTGATCATTATATTTGAATACAAATACTTATATTAAAACAACTTTTTATGTAGATTCTGAAACAAGAATTATATCAAACACAACTGCAATTAAAAACAAAAAATGCATTTATTAGTGAACTTCAAAATGATGTAGAGCAATTACAAATAGTCGAAGATGATAATATTAAGTTGAAATCAGAAATTTCAACAAAAGAATCAGATTTAAGGCAATGGACTGTGAAAGTAATTAATCAACCTATTAGTGATTTCTATGTTTTGACAAGCATGTGCAATTTGAGTCATAAGATATATTTATAAGTAAGCGTTATTTATTTATATTTCAGTATTCCAATTTAGAGTTCAAATTATTAGACCAACAAAAAGACCATTTATTACAAATTGATTTGTTAAATGAGCAACTATCAGTTTTAAAAAGTTTAAAAGATAAACCAAAAGAAGATTTACCCGTGAATTTAAATGATAGTATTATAACAGAATTAAAAACTGAGTTAAATGAGAAAAAGGTATTATTGACTATAATTATCATATCAATGTTTAATATTAATACATATTTAAGGATTGTCGTTTGGTAACATTTTCAATTATTTTTTATAGGAAAAATATGAAGAGATGCAATCCATCATAAACAATCAAGAAATTCTTATTATGGAGTTAGAACATTTAAAAAATAGAGCTATTGAAGAACTAGAAGAATTTAAAATAAAAGTTGATTTTAAAACTGATCAGTTAAATGAATGGAAGCAAAAATATGAGGTACAATGATTAATACTTTTAATCTACTTATTTTTAAAGTTAATTAAACATTATTATGTAGTAATTATGACTTATGTTAGACATTGCAAGAAGAATGTGAAATGATGAGACTGCAACTCAATAGTATAAATAATCTAAATGATCATAATAAAAGAGGAAATTCATTGTTTGCTGAAGTGGATGACAAAAGACAAGCATTGACAGCCGAGCTGGAAATGAAAAGAGAAAAATATGAAACTTTAAAAAAATGTTTATCAAAAGCCAACCATGAAAACAATCAAATGAAGGTTTTGAAAATGATTAAATTTGCTTTTTTACCGATGCATTCTAATTTATTATTCTTTAGATGGAAATGATGAGATTAGAAAAACAGTTGTCGGAAACGGAAAGAAATGATGACTTAGAAAAATCTACTTTGATTCAAAGTTACAAAAATCGTATAAGCGTAAGATATCATTATATAAAAAAATTATGTAATTTAATGTCTTAAATGTTTTATTGTTTATAGGATTTGGAAGCCAAAATTAAAGAATTAGATAAAAGACCGGAGACTCCACAAGTACTGAAAATAGACAATTTAAGCAATGAGGGCATGAATGTTGTTCTTCAAATTGTTTCTGACGTCCGGTATGTTGTATTTTTGTATAATATCATACTATCATTCATATTGTATATTTTGACAGTTCATGAAAATCGTATGATTATTTTTTTTAGAAAAGAGAAGAAAGCTTTGGAAGAAGAAATGAATAGAAGGTCAGTTAGAGATATGGAAGCTCGACAGCAATGTTTTAAAGGGGAATGTGAAATTCGACAGCTTAAGAAGGAGATGAGAAGAGACAAACTGCAACTAAAAGAATTAGAACAACAAATTTCCGTATTGAAATCTAAACGTAAAGACATTTCTAGCATAGTTTTTATACGCAATTGTTATTTTTTTTATAACTTTTTGGAAGAAAACAAAATGTATTAACATCATTGTTTTTATGTGTATATTTTTTGTTATAGTGTCGTCATCCAAGGAAAATATTGGTGAAGATAAACGTATGACATCAAAAGGAGTACGTTTTAATGACAACTGTAAAATTGAAGATGGAGGCCCTTCAATGAAACTAGCGAAAAAAATTCCTCAACAAGCTGTTTTAAACACAATCGTTTGTCCAAAATTTGAAGATTTATAAATAAATTATAATCAATATTGTTTTATTATTTAATTGTTTTATAGTAGATATTTAAAAAATATTCAATTGAACGTTGTAATTAAATTATGTGCTTCTGATTTTTAAGTGTATTTAAAACTAAAACTTCAATTTTAATATTATAAATGTGTTATGTTCCAGGATCATAACAATGATTAAATTACAATTTGTCCATGTAATAATTAGTAGTTCGTAATATAAAATGATACTAGCTGGTATTTGTATAATAAAATTTGCAATCGGACAATAATGTATAAATGTTTTATTTATTTATATTGTTTAATAAGAGAAGATAAACAATACATAGAATGTAAGTACCTTAATAAATGTTAACAACTCCCACTTAGGACGATTGTTTGTATATATTGACACAGTGGAAAGAAATCATGTTGGCTAAACAATAATTTACTTTTTTAATTAGTTAACTGAATGAAAATTCAATTGTGTTTGTGCACTAAACTGTAAAATTTGATGCAAGGTTCTTCATAAGTTTCTTTAGTGGAAGTTAAAAAATATCCAGTAAATAGGAATGTTTATTTTTTATATGCATTTAAAGTTCAAATTTTGACAAGTGTACTAGGATGACACAATGTCTGCTCAGAATTGTTTTTCCTTTTCAATATGCAATGATTTATCATTAAATTCAAATATCAATTGCAACAATATGCTCGGCAACTACTGTACAGCAAAGCAGTACTCACTTTTCCACCTTTTTTTTAACATTTACTATTAGGTATAATATAATATATGACATACATATTCAACCATGATCATAAATTAGAAATATATTCAATTTACATTTTAGTAGATTGCATTCTTATACCACGGAATATTTACTAATTTAATCAGGATGAATTGTTATTCTGCCCCAATAATGACAAATTTATAGTGGTCAGTAAATGGTATTCTAAATAAATAACAAATTAGTTAAAAATGTACTTTCAGATGCTGAAAAAAATTTATTAGGTTATAACAAACAAAACTAATATTATATTACATTTAATAAATGGGAAACGATTTTATCTTCAGTTATACTATACAACATCTCCATACTGATTACGCGATTCTCTGGGTTGAGGTGTCCTCGGTTGATCCAATGGTGGATAAGGTTGATTATCCCATATTGGTTGCGTATTTGATGGAGGCGGAGGCCTATATAATTACAAATAATATCCAGTATTATGTTATTTTAAAATCATAAACAAACTAAAGCAAGTCATTACTTAATATAATGATTATTTATGTAGAACTAATAATAAACAACCTTCTTTGGTAAACTGAACTATTTAAATTAATGACAATTATTACCATTTTTTTTTTTTATGTTAAGTCTTATTAATGTTTAAATTATATTTCATGAACACTAAGACTGATCGTTTATATATGTAACACCAAAAAAACTATAATACTCTATTCTCATAAAAAAAGACCCTTGGCACCATTGAATGGCAGTCAGGCAACACCCGTTTTGTCACCCTTAATCAAGGCGACTACCCAAGTTTATTTCTTAATAAAAATAAAGTATTTAAATGATTTACCTATATGCCATTTTATTTGGTTGTGTTCTATCATAGTCTTGTCTATTACGATTCCTAAGATCATCATATGAAGTAGGTGTAACATTTGACATTGAAATATCATTATCCTTCCTAAGTGGTAAACCTACAACACAAATTGATTTGAAATATGATTACAATAGAATTATAGTATTAATCTTACCATCATAATTGGGTCTATAATCTGTATCTAAAGAATTCATAGGTTTATGCATATCCATACCCATTTCAGATTTATAGTCTGTCACAAGCGCTGGTGTATCAGTTCCAGATGTATAGATCGTGGGACTAATGGCACTTCTGAAAAATAAAATAAAATAATTGGATATTATTCATTATGACTGATTTATTACTGATTTTATGTTATTCTCTTACCCCTGGAAAAGTTCACCACTTGCTTTTCCTCTGCGCTCTCTGAGAACTCGTCCAAGTTCACTATTAGGTAGCTGCATTAATTTCTCAGCACATATAGTTTGATAAGAATATTTACCAACTAGATAACCAACCAGACCACCAAACATAACTTTAGGCCATGGGCCCCATTTCACATTCCGCTTTAAATAACCTTAAACAATAAACAAATTACAATCATGTATAATATTCATGTAAACTGCAAACAAAACGATAAGACATTAGACATTCAATAATACATTCATTAATAAATGAACATCCAAAAATATACAAAATGCTTTCAAGGCAATTTAGACCCATTTTTAAATGATGGTTCATAAACCTAATATGTCATATTTGAAGGTGCCTTTGTTATCAATAAAGACAACAGTTTTTATATCTGTAAGTTAGAGCTATAGAAAAACCAATCATAGCAACAATAATAATGGCATAGTTTACCAGCATTGACAGCAGCATACGAAATAGCACCTGTGATCAGCGATAATGGCAAGCTCCTCTGGAAAAAACTTTCTTTGTTGCATTCGTTCATGACTCTAGTTTCTTCCGGCGAGAACTGATAAAACTAGATGACAAGGAAAAATCAAAATAAACTCCATGCAATAATACTTTTTATGGATGCGGGAATGCAACTATACAGTTGATAGAATATAGGCACAACTATAGGAGACATCAAAATATGACTTACCACTGAATCTGGAGACGGTTTCTGTTGCTGTTGCGGAGAGCCGGAATGTAGATTGGCCATTGTCACTTAAGTCTCTTGAACGGACGGACAATTTAAAGTATTTTTATTTTATTATTTGTACAGTGGAACAGTTCACCCTGACGTAAATTACTATTTACTGTTGACAATAACAAACGCACGGTCTGCAGCAATTTAGCTTTCCAATCTTTATTCTATGGATTGACGTCAATAATTATTGTTGATGTTAAATGTTGAACAGTTGTAGGTTCACAAGACGCAAATAGTAATTGTCAGCTACAGGCTGACGAGACGGCACGAAGCCACGAATATTTTATGTAGTGAACCCGCACCCGGTTCCCTGGATGACAGGATGATAAATTTTATTATTTTTGATTTTCGAGCCTTATCGTTATCGTTGCAGACACTCCAGACATGGAGGAGAAACGCGTCTAATGACCGTGATAACAACCGCGGACGGTCGGCCGAGCGCAGCCACGACACCGTCCTCCTAACGCGTCCTCATAAATAATCTGTTCACCACTCCATCATTATTAATTTCATTACTTTACTATACAGGTACATAATATAATATTGTTTTTTAAGTACGGTTTTTTTTATTCCTTCTCCCAAATCACACAAGTCGTCCCCCCAATAATGTCAATTAACCAATGTTGTTACTCTGATTAAGTTATTTTTTTTCTGTTAATTTGTAAATTTTTTTTTAGTTGTAGTTCACATCGTAGTCTACGATAGTTTCGGCGTACGATTTCCCTAGAATTGTGTAGTGTCGTCGTTGTCGTGATCTAAGAAATATTAAGACGATTGTTCATAAGCAATCAAAATTTTGCATTAGTGTTTGTGTTTCGAATTACTTAATCGTACCTCCGGCAATGGATAGTATTACGAAAAACGTAAGTGTTCCAATCATTTTTGTCAAGTTGATTTTAACATTTATTTTTATTAAGTAGATTGATGATTATAGAATATTTCATAAAATTAAAACTGACAGCAAGACAATATTTGTTTCAAGTCGTTCAACACACCCCAAAATTAAAAAAAAATATATATATTTATTTAGGTATAATAGGTAGTTTTGTTACAACATCCTTGTATTGAGTTTAAGCTGACATTTTCCTTGTCATAGCAATACATTTAAAAGTTATTAAAATTAGAGTACAGTTATTATACTTGGTAGGAGATTATTGTATAGTTTTAAAAATCGTTAAAATTATATTTATTCATACGTTTTATTAACATCTATTTTGTGGACCACTTGTATTAGCAGCAGACAATTTATTTGTGAAATAAAATGATTGAATAAATTTGTTTTTTGTATACATGTTTAATTAAACAATTAAACTATGTGAACATTAGTATTAACCTGTTAGTAATAACAAAATTTTGATTGATAAGTGTTATATATTATATGTCAAATATTTATCTTTTATACACTTAGTTACTTAATATTTGTTAGTTGCAGTTCAAATGAAACTGATGTACATACATTTTTTAAATATATAATTAGAACATTGGATAAAGACTCCTCTTTCATTTGAAATTCGTTATTATTTTAATTATTAGTAATTTATTATCAACTTGAATGTTTCATTTAATCTCTACTCCATTCTAAATTCTAACCCTGAACTGGTCATTATTATTATTATTCCTTTTATTCAGGAGCCTGGTTTTGTCATTTGATTGTTTTTGTTACTTACTTTAATCTTACTATTATTATTAAATTTTTTTTTTAGTTATATATTAGTTAATTTTATTTATTATTCTATTTGTTTTTATATTGCTTTGTTAATATTTTAATGTATTATAACTGTTGAGCTAGATTTTTAAATAAAAGCTATAAAAAAAAAAAAATTATTAGGAATTAAATAGTCAGTATTATGGATTTGTTTATGAGTATTTGGGCCTTAAACTTTTTTTATCATTAATATATTTATACGATGTAGAACATAATTTGTTTTACCTATACTAAAAATTATAGTTACAATTGTTAATACCATTTATTAAAATAATAATTATACTCTGTCTCAAAAGAGAATAATGAGCCGGCCAACCGATTTACGTCAGTGCTGCGCATCTCCCGGTGTTATCATGATCATATAGTTCTCGACTAATCGCATCATTCACAATGGGCAAAAAGGGATTATTCTCTTCTAAGACAGAGTTTATGTATCAGATTTCTAAATGACTGTTTTTCTATATCTCATAAGATTCGGATTTTTCTTCATTTTCTTACATGTCCATGAAAGATGATTCACTGTACATGTTCACAGCCTTGCAGTTAGATAAGAACTATTTTCCATTTAATAAACAATAAACTTGATTAATGAATCATTTTGTTTTAAATAAACATCATTAAATTATTAAAATACCAAAGTTGTTAATAAATTGGTATGTATTCATGTATGTTTAGGTACATCATAGCTGATTAAAATGGCATCTAGAGATAAACAATCACAATATGTCGATGGTCGACGTACTTGTCCCAGGTACAGTGGACCAGCTTCCAGCAACGGTGACTATGCTTATGCATATTATGAACATGGTCCTCATGGATCTAAACCACATGCGTGTTCAAAACATAGTTATATCAATCGATATGGACGTGAAGAGAACATATATGAAGAGATCGGAACATCTAAACTTGACGAAGAAGTTAGATACGTCCATTCAAAACATTTACAAGCAAGTGTTTTTTTAAATAACACGACACCCAAAACTATTATGTAGGTCTAATTTAATAATTACACTTATATTTTTTTGTCAAGGTTTTGGATGAATTAAATTTATCAATGGAAGCGATGATAATGCCTGACAATGGTGCATGCTTAAATAATAATGGTTCAACTGGCCTTAACTTAGGAACGTCTAGAGATGGTTCACCTGTGAATTTAAGTGTTGATAGTGGTGTTGCTTGTGATGCTAGCAGTTGTGGCACAAATAGTTTAAGCCGGCCTCGTAAATCTCATTTTAGCACAAAACGGTTTTGGAATAAAATGCCTACATTAATTTCACCCAGTCCAAGTAAAACATCACTTCCAGGTTAGTTAATTAATTTCATTTATTCAATCGTTAATATCCAACTTTACTTTATATATTAAAATATTGTATGTCCTCTATATTCAATAAATATTAAATATCATTATGCTCACATCAAGAATACGTCAAAGAAAAAATTATACATTACTGATAAGACCTAAAATTATTCTTCAATTATTGTTATTGTAGTATTTACAATCAACCAAATAGTGATTATAAAGTGCACCAGGATTAATTAATTATTTGTAAATTTATGATTGTGTCACAAAAGTAACCCCATACTACCTAATTCAAATCGTTTTTTTTTAAATATTTTTATCAGCTATTTATTTAAGCTGAGTTGACTTCATAGCAGTTCTATGTTTCTTTTTTTTTTACAAGAAATAATAATTGAAAATAAGATAACATTTCTAAACCAGTTTGGTTTATTGCTTATAAAAATGTTTTATTATAATGTTTCACTGTTTTCAAATTTAATATTAGATTTTTGCAGGTTAACATTTTTTTTTATATAATAGTTTATTGGAGTCAAAAGTTAAGTGTGATTGTATCATACAAATAATTTATAGTACTAACCAATTTTACCAATTGTGTTATATTACGTATTATACTACTAAATTAAGTCACAAATTTTAGTTTCAAATAATTTATATATACTACTAAATTAAGTCACAAATTTTAGTTTCAAATAATTTATATTAATGTATAAACACTCATAACAACTTATAATTTTATGTAATAAATAATGAAAAATTTATTTTCACTTTATTCAGTTTTTGTTTGATTCTGCACATGTTTCATATCTAGAATAATTTGATGTTGGATACTAAATTTCTTTTCAGAGGCAGTTGTATATAATATACAAAAAAAACATCATTAAAAATTGAAAAAATATTACTACTAACCTCACTCATATTTCTTTATTGTCTTTCTACTAATGCCTTAGTCTTAGGAATTTTAAAATTTTTTACATTGATATATTTTGTTTGCTACTATACATTTAAGAGCAGTATTTCTGTGCTCATTACTAAAACTATTAATGTACTGCCTACACAAAGGTAATTATTTTGTCATCAAAAAATCATTAATAAATGTTATTACTTTTTTCAATATCAATTGATTTGGTACAGATAAATATAGATACAATAAAATATGTTTTTGAGATAAGATTAAATTGTAATTTTATTGTCCTGTGAAGTCTAAAATTGTACAAAACAATGCTTGAAATAAACATAAATTAAATTAAATATGCAAAATTAATGTAATATTTATAAAAACAAAATGTATTTATCATAATAAATGCAAATGTGTATAACTTGGTTAGCATTATATATCACTTGTAGAAATAAAATCAAAAGTCATCAATGTCCTATCTCTAATTATATTTATTTAAATTGGTGGTTAAACAGTGCAATAATATGTTATAACTTAAACTATAATCAGGGCCCCAGGAGGAAGGGGCTGTTAGATCTGGAGTACAGGGGCCTGTTGAAATTAATTTGTAATTTTTGAAATTTTGAAAGAAATACTCATTTTATATTAAATAATAATTTATGATATACTTAAATGTGTGTTTTAATATTATATTAAGTAGAAATTGTATATGGGGCATTTGCATTACTTGTAATGGGTTGTATTTTATTAGAATTTTTGTATAGGGCCCCCAAAAACATTTAGTTTATGGGTCCAAAATTTAATGTGGGGCCTGGCTATAATAATTGTTCATTATAATTTGATGAAATATAGTTTTAAGAACATAAAAGAATATAAAAAAAAATTGTACCTTCCTAAATATTCCATTTTACAAACAGATGAGTCTGTGCGATGGCGACAAAATTCATGGGATGAAGTAACACAGTCAACCACTATTAATGAGCGCCATACTCCTTCACAAAAAAGTTCAAGTTCTGACAGAGATCCAGAGCTTTCATCCGAAGAAGAAAGTAATAAGTATGTACTTACTTTCCTCTGCTATTCTCTCAATTGTATATTTTTTCATTTTTCAAATTTTTAATTTCAGAAGTTATGATACTAGAAACAATGTTTCTAAAACATTGAGATGGACAAAGAACCCTCCATCCCCAGATCCACCTTCTAGTCCTGGTTTATTATCGAGATGGTTTTCATTAAGAAGATGCTCACAATACGATCTAGATGTTCGGCCAAATAGCAAAATGCCTTTATTACCAGAGGTAAATTATTATTGTCATTTTAATTTTAATTCTAATATTATGAACATTCTTCCCCCAAAAAAATATTATATTATGTAAACATTTTTTGATTCTATAGAAATGTGTAATATTTAATTTTAAATTAATGTCATTTATAGGTTGAAGAAGACTGTTTTTCTAGAAGACTTATTCCACCAAGTCTTCCGCCAGCACCTCCCGATATTTCTGAACAAGAACTAAGACGTAGATATATTGTTGATGATATAGTGAGAAGTGAAAATTCATACCTAGCTACTCTTCATAGACTAGTGAATGTGAGTTAATAATAGAGCTCTTAAAAATATATCTATCTAAAAATTGCATATTTTATGATATTAGGATTACAAAAAGCCTCTGGAGCAAAGTATGCCATCAATTTTAAGTCAGTCCAAAATTTCAATACTATTTCATCGAGTTCCAGAGATACTTCAGTGCCATACACTATTTAGAATAGCGTTAGCTGAAGCTGTTGCAAATTGGGATCGTGATCATAGAATTGGTGATGTTTTTGTCGGATCTTTTAGTAAAGCAATTGTATTGGATATATATAGTGGGTTTATTAACAATTTTTTAAATGCAATGGAATTGGCAAAAACTGAAACCAAAAGAAAAGCATCTCTTGCAGAATTTTTTAAAGTTAGTATTAATTGTATTTTACCTTTATATTGAATATAATTTATTTTAATTTTTTTTTTAAGAATCGACAAGAGGCATCCCATGACCGTCTTTCATTTTATAGCTTAATGGTTAAACCTGTACAACGATTTCCACAGTTCATCCTTTTCCTCCAGGTTTGTATTTAACATTATCTATTAAATCTGATTTAAAAATGTTTTTACTACTTGCTTATTTTTTTAGGATCTATTACATAATACAGGTTATGGTCATCCCGATAGAATGTCTTTACAGTTAGCATTAACTCAATTGGAATCTTTAGCAGAAATGCTCAATGAAAGGAAACGCGAGAGTGAGCAAGCTCAAGCATTTAAAGAAATGTTAAAATCTGTATCTAGTAAGTTAGCTGTTCGTCCAATAGCAGACAGCAACAGATGTCTCTTAAGACAAGACGACGTTACTCAAATAGTGAGTTTTTAATAAAAACAATACATTTTTAAATTTTAATACTTTTAAAAATACATTATATTTATTTAAATTACTTATAGGAAATTAATCACGGAGAGGTCATTGGAAAATGTAAACCTCGACGTCTGTTATTACTAAATGATTTGCTTGTATGTGTCTCTGTGAATAACAAAGAAGATTCCAATAGTACATCACAAAAAAGATTAACGTTCAAATGGAGTTTTCCAATTGCTGAAATTCAAGTATGTTACAGTTATTTTATTTCTTGACTTTAAAATATTTTTCAATTTTTTATATGTTCTATTTATAGGTCATTGACACATTGTCATTACCTAGTGTTTCACGTACAATTGCTGGTAGTGCAGCATCACATAATAGTATCACAACAGACAATTTATGTAATGAAATGAACCATCTAATGCATGATTATCAAGTAATCAGCCGTATTGTTGAATTAGCATCAACATTGAAAGGCACATATTTGGTTAGTTCTGATTAAAAATTATAATTTTAATAATAAATACATATTTTTAAATAATGTTTTTTTTTTGTTTTTAGGATCTTGCTCCAGATCATTTAAAAGGAGTCTTAAATGCAATACAGTGTGAAGTGCAATACAAAGGAGATCAGGTAGCGTGGATGGATTCCTGTTGTCTCCAGTTATTTATTAATCGTCAAGGATACACTTTTCAAATGGAAAATCCTGATTTACGCAAAGGGTGGATCACTGGTAAATTCTAGAATGACTGTGTTTTTACTTTTCTTACTATTAAAAATATTTTGTAGAACTAAGGCTTGCACGCTTGGCTCTTGATCCCAATAATTCTCCTGCTTGGGAAGTTCCTGATCAAGAGTTGATGCGCCCAATGACAAAGATGCCTCTATTTGTGGGTGCTCATCCCATAACTACGTCTAGCAAACAAGCAGAGGTAATGTTTAAATTCAATTACAAATTGTTTAAATTGTACCTAATTTCACTCATATTATAATAACTGTACAGGTGACTTGTGGATGTTTTTATTCTTCTGGCTGTGGTAAATTTTCATATTTGTGGGTGTGCACTACAAATATTCCGATGAATACGCATATAGCCATCATGTCTGTCAATAATACTTGTATTCTAAAACAAATTACAACATTAGATTTGCCACAAACCATTGTAACAGCTATAGAGTATGTCAGAGCCTCTGATACAGTTTGGATGGGTACCAATCATAAAAGGTGACTAAAGTGTTTCTATAAATATTTAAAAAATATATTATTTATGACTAATAATTTTAATTTTTGTCTTTTAGTATTTTGATTTTTAATACTGCTGACATGTCAGAAGAGGCAAGTATTTCATTACCAGGCGAAGACGAGAGCCTCAGAGTCACAGCTATCAAACACCATTGTGATACTGTGTTTGTAGCTTTATCAAATGGCTCATTGCTACTTTATAGAAGAGGTAATCAGTCCAAAGAACCAGAGATTGTAGTTTTGGGTCCCGATGCACCTATAACATGTATATTACCTATTAATTTATCATTATACGTGGCATGTGGAAAACAAGTATTTGTTATGAGTGCTATCACTGGAGAACTTCAAGTAAATATAAAATTAAATAATACATAGTTAATTTAACTAGTAAATGTGATACATTAATTTTTATTTAGAAAAATTTTACCATTCATCACGGAAAAAATGTTAATCTTTTGGCTCATTCTGGTGTTGGACTTTGGCTTTCGTTAATGAATTCAACAACTGTTTGTTTGTACCATACTGAAACATTTAAACATTTACAGGTACATACATTTTTTATAGTGTTTATAGAAAAATATTTGAAATTTTTTAATTACAATGATAATACTTTGCTTAAAATATTATTTGTTTTTTCTTGTGATATTCTTCCAGGATATTAATATTGCATCAAATGTTATAAGATTAAAAGGCACTGCTACACCAGTTAATGTTACTGCACTTATGGCTTGTAAAGGTCTCCTATGGGTTGGAACTGATGCTGGTATTAGCTTAACTGTTCCATTACCTCGTTTAGAAGGTGTACCTATAATCAGTGGCAAAGTGAATGTTTCTTATCATGGGCATACCGGTCCGATATCTATTTTGGTGCCATTACAAGATCCACCTACTGTTCTGAAACGTCCACCTTCAAAAACATTAGCAAGTGATATTTATGATCTATATGGTCGTTTAATGTGTGTCAAAGACTATGATAAAAATGAAGACGCTTTAAGTTCGAGTCGATGGTCTTTGCGATCAACTGATGAATCATCAGCAGTACAACATGCCAGATCATCAGATGTATCCAAAAAAGATTTCACTTTAGTAACAGTGTCTTGTGGACGTGGCTATGTCAATTATCAACAACCGTGCTGTTCAACCATTGAAAATAATGCTTACATAATACTTTGGGAAATTAAGCTATAAATGTAAGTAGGTAATGGTAATTTAATTTTAATAGTTATTGAGTAGTAGGTAACTCGTTATCTTTAACCTACAGGGTGTTTCTGAAATTGATAATGTTATAATTTAGAACATATTTAGGTTGTGAAAACAATTAAAAACTTATTTAATTTGACTACAGAATCATTTACTTAAAAATTAACATTAAATAAATTAATAATTACTATACATTCAGAGTTGTATTAAGTTAGAAAATAACTCTTTTATATTAAAACTAACCTTTAGTTTATATTAAAAAAAAATTCCAAATTCTATTATTACTTTATGCTTTTTAAACATAAAAATTCATGAAACACCTTTTTGAAGCCAAATGACCATTTTATCTTGCCAAATCAAAACATTCTTCTTCCTTAGAGCTGTATACTGTAACTGTAAATAGTATTAATTATAGTTTTTAAGTCAAACATATTAAGCTAAATAATAATATTTAAACGAAACATAGCTGTGAAAAGAGTGATTTTTTATTTTACAAATTACCTGAGTAATGAACCTTTTCTCATTTTCTTATTTTGTTATTTTATCTTATAATTTAAACTATTATTGACTATATTCAAAAAATAAATTTGTGATAGTTGTCTTCTTATGTCTATTCTGAAAATAGTAATGATAAATTAATATGAACAGACCATTAGTGCGTCAATGCACTATGTTCCATTCACCTTTTGTTGCAATCAAAATAATTTAACACTTCATATTATCCATAAACATTTTCTTTTCATTCTTCATAATCAGTTCTTTAGTACTATTATGTATTATTTTAGCTAAATTGATATTTTAACATTTCTAGCCGCTCAATAATTATTTTTAACTCCTTAATTATTACTTCTATTATTTTTAACTTTCTAAGTATGACTTAATCAGCTCTAATGCCTTGAATTTGTTGATTATAGATAGTAAATACTTAATATATAATTCTAAGTATTTAAGATAGTATTTATTAGTATATTTGTGTACAATTAATAACATATTATTATATGTGCTGCTGAATAATTAAAAATTATTGTTTTTTTAAATTATTAATACATACTTTGCAATTACAAAAAAAAAACAATACAAATCTATGGTTAATTTGAATGAAATATTATTATTTGTACGCCAATCCATTTTGTTGTTAGATTATGTACTATGCATAAATTCCAGTATTACACTACTACCCGAACACATTTTTTTCAATTTGAATACTTGAAATTAGTATAGTGAAGTATTAACCAATTTTGTAAATTTTTACTTTTTCTTTCACTCATACTGTCCCTAGTTGAAAATATTTAATAATCAAACAACATTTATCAGTATTTTATGTCACAAACATTTTTATACATTTATTATTATTTTTAACTCATATATTAAGTATTTTTGACTGCTCACTACTCTTATGATTGAATCTCTTTATACTATATTGATATAAGTTTGTGATCAATAAAACAGTATGGTATTTTCAAATTTTTTAAAGCAATATTATTTTTATGAGGCTTTTTATTGCCATCGGATGACTAGTATTAATAGTGAAAATATAAAAAATTTTCCGGTGTCCATTTTAATACAACTCATTTGTCCCCTCATTGCTACTTGTACCTTCAATTCCTTTAAGCCCTTGAAGACACAAATACTATTATGCAGTGTATAAGTGTTTACCCATATTTAATACTGTGATATACTTATTAAAATTCACCCAAATGCTTTTAAATCATTATAATATATACATTGTAATATTATCATAGGTATTTACTTAGAGTTTTGTATTATACCTATTATATAAGACAATGACAAACTGTATTTAATGGTATTAATATTATTACATCTGACACACATTTGTCACTTACTATTAGTCCATAATAATAATATTACACACACACATATATATATATATATATAAACAATTTGTGTTTCTTCCTAGATACTGCGCCAAACTTTTAGTTTTATTTAAGTAATAAATTAATAACAAAACACACACAAACATATATATTAACATTATACATTTAGTCAATTAAGTACAAATTAAGAAACAGATACACACACATAAGTGCACGTGCACAAACATATTATTATAATTTATAAGTTAAAAAATTGCTATTTTGACGTCAGTATAATAGCCGTTGACGTTTTGTGACGTTAAATAATGTATAGATTGTTGAACATAAAACAATTATTATATTATGTTCTTTCTACTCGTTAATAATCAGCTTAATATGTTACAAAACTAATTTTTGCCCTGACACATTTATCGGTCAATTTATATTGTATAATAAAAAAAAAAAATAGTATTTGCTCGGTATTTCTGTACACACACACACAGCGCAACAGTACCTGTAATTGCTTATAAAAAGTATCGATTATATACTATTATTACTACTACTATTACCACTAATGTTACACGGTGAATTATATTTACATTTATTATAATTGTTTGTATTTAAATGATTACCTTTCGCGCTGCTGCAAAAGAATGGTATTTTGAGATTTGTATTAAATTTTTTTTTTTTATCGCTTTTTATACGAATATTTTATTTGTTTTTCTTTTGTTTTGCCGTCTCGAAGAAAAGATTTTATATATTATTTCATATTATATTTTTATTACAACACACCCATTATATTACTATATATTTCTATTATACGTAGTACATAATTTAATACAATATGTACTACTTCTAATGTCTATTTGAACGAGCTGTGTCTACTAAGTATATCAAAGTCGAGAAACGAAATTTTTAATCATATATTATAATAACTATATACCTATATATATATTTTTTTTTTACGTCAATATGATTATGTTATAATTATCGAATGTGGTTGTAATATTGTATACACTATACATGATAATAATTTAAACCAACTTAGTTTTAAACGATTTTATTTGTAAAAAGAAATTCTTTTGTATTTTGTGTAAAAAAAAAGAATAAATATATGTTTTTTCCTTTAATTATTAGTATTTATTATGTTCGTCTCGACCTTCATAATGAAAACAGTCCGCTCTTTACACAATATTGAATATACTCTTCCTGTGTTCGTCCTCACATATTTAGAGTATAATATATGGGTAATAGGTATAGGTAGGTAAACTTTGGCAGTTATCACCTTGTGGTATGCCTTTTACGCTTGTATCTGATACAAGCGAATGATTTTGATTTTTCAAATAATAACCTTTTAATCACATACATTGTTGATATTTCCTATTGTTCAAATCGTGGTGGTGTAAGTTCGAAAAATTTTAAGGATCCGTCAATATATAGGCCCGGAAATTGGTGCGATGCCTATAGCCCCGCCTAATCTATAAACCTTTGTTTTTAGTAAACATTTTACCGTTAGGAGGTGGGGATAAATATACTGATTCACCCCCAAAAAAATTATCCTAGGATAAGGGGGGGGGGAGTGAAAACGTTTGAGATTATTAAAAACCTGTGACATCGGCATTAGAAGTTTACTAAACACAAATTAAAATTTACAAAAACCTAGACTAACCTATAATAAATGGATATAACTTGGTGGAAATCTTATATCACTATCAACAAAAATCGGTATTTTGAGGAACCCTCCTGTTGGACTAATTACCTTAATTTCGTTACAGAGTCTCAAATTTGAGTTGTCACTTACAACCGATACGTTAAGTATAGGCATTTAAGATGTGAACGGATACCCAAACCTGTTACCCATCTTGCAACTTATTTGGTCCCGATGCGCTGCACTTGACCGATATTGCCAATCTCGCAACTGTGTTTGTTCGCTTCTGTACCTATAAGTAGGGTTGAAATTTGTTGTGTTATTGTGTTAACAAGTGATTTTGCTTAACACATTTTATATACATAAACGTGTAAAAAAACATGTACAATTTGTGGTAAATTTTTCCATGAAATATACATTTAGGCTGTAAATCACGGTATAATGAGTATACAATTGTTAGAATTTCAATTAAATTTGTTTTGAAGATGTTGTGGAGTAAAAAAATGGCTGGGTTCCCATCCACCCTAAAACTATTTTCCATATTATTTTTCCATATTTTTTTATACATTGTTTAAACATTTAAAAATATGTTTACAACAAAAAAACTGTTTTTTATAAATTCTGTCTATGGGTTATAACTGAATAATATTTATTTGCAATATTATAGTATATAGTGGTGGGTTACACAAGCAAAGTGTGTGGCGAGTGGTATCGATAAGTTCTATGCTTGCAATTTAACGATGGAATTTTTTTTTTTATTGAATTTATGTTTTGACAATATAATAATATGTTATACATAATAAATAAATGTTATAAGTTTATAACAATATAGATATAATGATAAGATATAGTTTGTCCTCCACTTCTGATTCCTGTTTCATGCATAGCTCTATTGATACGTTTGAGTGGGGTAACTTTTTTTTTTTTTAAAGAAAGTTTTTTTTCAATCTATTCGGTGTGTTGCTTTAAGAAGTCTGAAATGCTTAGTGGTTGAATTCGTTGCAAATAAAGGACAACGAATTATGGCGATTATTATGATGTAATTCCTACCTGTGTAAAATGTTCATTATTTCTTCGGGCAGAGGCTGCCGCCGCTTGAGAACCGCGTCTATTAGCAAAAAAATACAAAGTATATTATAATATAACGTAGTTTATATAGCTTAGGTATATGTATTATATTATACATAAAACGTTGATGGTAATACACAATCGTTATTAACATTATTACCATCATAATATTCTTCTGTTGCTCTTTCGGTCAGTAGGTACCTATACATAATAGGTAGGTACTTACATATAATATTATCATATGTCTATTTGTGTGTAACCTAGGTACATATATATTTTGTTATGAACCCCTGCGTAGGAGTAGAGGGACCAAAAAAAAAGCGGAATTACCATAATATAAATATTAAAACGACAACTTAACGGGGTCAATGTAATAAAAACGAGTGCACGCGAACCACAAGAAAACGCCGAAATATACGCTTCGATCGAACTTGGTTCGTATACATACATATAATATGTATATATACGTGTCCAGCCCGGACTCGTGAATGAAAGATTAAAACGTTTATTTAAATTTCCTTTATTGGGGGCATTAAGCTAAGTCCATCGGTTGGTCGGCGAGTTTATTAAATGTGTCGGATTGGCCAGTTTTAATAATATATTACACATTAAATATTATAATTTATAAATACCTACCACCCAAAAATAGGGACCTATATATTATTATTATAATATTAATATTTTACTATTAGGTACTCTTACACGCCACTCTCTACTCTAGTGTCGTGTGACTTTTTGTTAACATTACTGTAGGTATTAATAAAAAATAATAAACACGTAGGTAAACGTTTTTGAAAGAATAAGAAAGTATATAGTTGGAGGGGGGGGGGGGTACACCCCGTTGCAAGTAGTGGCAAATTGTTTGGTCCATTTAGAGGGAGTTAATTTTATATATATTATTATTATTATTATATTTTTATATATTTAATAATTGTATCAAAAAAAAAAAATCATATTCATATTATTATACAATTAATTCGACAAATTTTATTTAATTCAAGCAGGCAACTACAGATAAGATACAGATACAGACACAAAAAAAAACACACAAATCATTGTAAAAAAATAAATTCATTGTCCTGCTCAGTATCTAAATGAGAAATCTTCTTTAAAGTATACTAATAATAATAATTAATTATCTATTAATTTTTATGGTTACCGATGTGGTTGTAAGTACTAAATGCAATTCAACGACGGGCCTTTTCATATCTTGTTAAATTCCAATTTTTTTTTTTTGACGTCTCAGGGTAACTATCAAACATTCAAAAATAAATTTATTTTATACATTTCAATAATAATTATATTAACCTCGCATTGATTCTTATTTTATTATAATTTAACTTATTAAAGTTACACGGCGTCTTGGATGGGCAATTTAGCTACACTCCTGTCCTTTATTAAAGTGCATGAAGAATTTATTGCTGTAGGCACCTATCACCTAAAATACTGTGTCCAGACTTCAGAAATCATTATACCCGATTTGGATGGGTGTGATCTAACAAAGTTTGATGTTTCCGTTGATTATTTGGAGCCATGTGACAACATTTTGAATTTGACAGATGAGGAGCTTAGAATTTAGATATAAAAAGTAAGAATAGACAACAGCCATGATATGCCGCTATGCCGCTTGGACTCTTGGGCAACGAGTTTTCGTCTGAACCGGACTTAAGTATTCATAGACACAAAGTATTCAATTTTAAATACAATCATTAGATTGAGCTTATAAATATTATAATAGGTAGGTATACTATGCATTTTCATCACACCTTTCTTTAGTCTTAGGGCCACGTTCTACACATACAATCAATTGGCATGCAATTTTATCGATTCAATATTATTTTCTATTATCACGACTGGACTCACGTTATTTAACGTGACGACAATATCTGTAGGACATTTTTTTTAAACTTTAATTTTCTTTTATTATATTATTTATTGCACTTTACTTACATTTTGTGTTTAATGTATATATATTTACTGCAATCACAAATTTCTGCATAATGATGTCATTTAAAGTACGAAAGAAAAACGTTGATTCTTGTGTACCTTGTAACTATAATATTACATAATATACAGCTGGCATAACAACATTTCATGTTTATGAAGAATTGTATCGTTAAATGTTTTACTGCTATTTGAGTTGTAATAATATATGTTTGCCAATTTGTATACAAACTATACTGCAGGTCATAAAATAATTTGCGAACCTTAAAACATAGTATAATAACTGATATTATATATATATACGTACTATAGAAGATTTAAAAATAACCAGTCTAAAATATAAAAACCAGAAAAATATCCATATACTTTTTATATGACCATAGGTATTATAGGCGTTATAGGAGGGCTTCGTGATGGATTGAACGGCAAAAATCGTTTAATTTTAATGAGTTGCGTGTAATAATTTTAAAAGATACATAAAACAAAGCCGATAATGCTTATTGCTCAGTACTATTATAGTCAATGTAGCGTATCCAGGATATAGATAGGGGGGCCTTTCTTTAACTAGTCGGGGGTCATGGCTGGCAGCTACCAAAGTAATATTATTGTACCATAGATACCACAAATCGGAGAAGTAACTTTGCTTTGGAGTAGGTTTCGAGTGTTTCTCGTCATTAAATATGTCTCTGTAATGGGTTAAATTTGAATTCAATGATGGATCATTGCATACTAAAAGTAGAGGTGCAGAGATTGTCGCTCGCCGTCTTATATTTCTAAGGAAATGTTATTATTTATTTATTGCGTTACCATATAGTAATTTATTTTTCTATTTTTATAATACAGAGGTTGAATTAATTTTTGGCCAAAAATGTCACATCTAATATATATTATTATAATATTATGATATCATACCTACATTATTACTATTAGATATTTAAATATTTGTAAATCAATATCACGCGTATGGCGTATGCACCTGAAAAAGTTGTGTGTGTAGCTATAAAGGTTCCTAATTTAAAGGCTTAAACATAGTCTAAATACTTTCGAACATTTTAATGTGTATAAAGAACATTTTTGTTTTTTCCATATATTTTGAAACGTTCTCGGAATATTCGAAATACTCCCTAAACCAAGTTCGATTTGCTATCAGAACTACCTTCAAAGTTGAAGACTGAATCATACATATATATTATATACTGCTCCTAAAGGAGACGTCAGAAACAAAAAAATCACATTTTCACTGTACATCTAACAACAATATATTCATTTCCTCTCAGAATCAAAAACTAATAAGAAGCATGCAGCACCCAAAAATTCCCTGGAAAAGATACCGACTATACGCTATATCCTATAGTGTACCTACCTCAACTTAAACACCAATGCGGGCAACCATGATGTACCTACCTACAGCTGTACTGATATTATAAAATAATATTGTAATAATTACCTACCTAAGTGTAGTTTACTTAATTTTCATAATATTTTAAAATATATTTGGTTTAATTTATTTATAGCTTGATCGAGTTATTCAGGTTGGATGGCACTGCCGATTTGCTGCCCATCAATGTTAATTATTTCTTTGCTATGTTATAACATTACGTGTCATCAAACTTATTAAATACACTGCTGTAATACTGTACAGATTGTGCATAATAAATTTTTATGGTAAAAAAAAAGTTTTTCTGTTTTGAGTAATAAACCATAGTAAGATCCATCATATGTATCTGTCACTTATGTGTATTGCAGTACTATCTTCAGTTAACGAACTGCAGTACTTTATATGTACAGGAGTACAAATACAAAATATCGCACTGTTGCTTACGATGATTATTCGTATAAGTAGGTCAAGGTACTTTTTAAGTCATGCATATTAAATACTCGGAAATTCAAAATATTATTTATTATTTTTAATTTAAAAATAAAAGGACAAGCGTATACATACATATTATGTATACATATATATAATACGCATACAAATGTTCTATATATCGTTGGTAGTAAATGTAACACGCGGTATATAAATAGTAACTAGTACTTTGCAAAGGGCTGTCGACCTTTTTATCACAATAATTACTACTTTGTAGACTAGGTATAATATATATATATGTTTATAGTGTCGGTGAACAAAAAAAACTTATGTTAAGTTGACCGTGATTGTATTAAAATGAACTCCAAAACACAAAAACAACAAATTATACTACGCATTTCACCATTCGGGTTAAATGATATACTTTGAGATAACCAATGCAGGTTTTTTTTTACTCTGTTTTTAGATTAAAATTTACTTTTATTTAACTTTTTAGCTTTCCATTGCTATAGCTTGTTTATACATTTTTAAAAGCACTATGTATAATATTTTACCCGTTTTTTATAAATAAAAATAAGAATTAAATATAAATGATATGTCATGCATACACAATGCATGATTTATAAGAAGCACTCAATCTACCATATAAGTTTAGAGTACCTAGTCATTTAATAGGTCACTGTAACGGATGTGTTGAATTTAAATTCGACGATAAATATTATTATGCAGTCAAAACTTGAACTTCAAACTAGCTCTTATAATATTTTTAAACTGGTATCAGACGAACTTCTGAGGAACTATGTATTACATTTTCAAGATTTTTGACCAAACAAATAATTGTATTAATATAACACGGAAAAAAGACAAAAACTTATATTAATAGATTAAATAGAATAATAATTAAAATATTTATAAAATTATATTAATACCAGAAAATGCTAATATTGTGTATAAATATTTTAAGGGTTTTTACGGTTATTCATTCTTTTAATTATTGCAATTTTTATGTTGTAAGAAGTGTTTTTATACACGCAAAACAAAACCACATCATTGTGGTAATTGTTCCAATAAATTAATCGCTACCTTCTGAATCTCGAAAAAAATAACCAATACTGTTGTATGCATTTTAAATTGTAACTACAATAGTTTTATCATAATATATCATCCCGACCCCTCCCACAGAAAAAAAAAAATACCTCCCCGTGATAAACATTCAAATTTGACATACTTTCCAGTTTCCACGACGGTAGTCGTCTAATAGCAGCATAATATTTTGAACACTTTCCTA